TTATTAATGAAATGATTAATTTGTTGTGAAAAATCAGAAAATTGAAATTAGCCAATTAATATATTCAATAATTTTCTCGATAATTATTTTACAATATATATTTATAATTAATCGGTTTATAGTAACTATATATCGACGCTTGTGACGCAAAAATATTAGACTCGATTTAGTGTGTTGGTTTACTAACTTCTTTTTATGATAACTAGTGCGATCGATCTTCTCACGTGAAAAAGCTTTTAAAAAATAGCTGCTGTAGAGCGAAGAGAAGAAATATGCGCTTGTATATATCGATGAAACCACCGATCATAAAAATAAGTCGTTTGCATGTCTTCTTTTTATTAGATGTTCCGCGATCGTTAAATCTCTCTTTGTGAGTGTGCTTACTCGTGATTGTCAAAAAGATCAATATTTCGAATGTGAGCTTCCGATACGATATTCCTTTTTATTCTGCGAATAGTATAAATGCACATTAAAAAGAAATGTATCTTATTTTTTGAAAGATATATAGGTATAAGAAAATTAAAAATTAGTGTTAACAAAAAATATATTTTTAGCATGTTTTAACTTTCTCATAGAAACAGCATTGGAGAAAAAATTAATATTAAGCACAGTGTAAGCAAATATAATCTAGAGAGAATTGCTTTTTTTTTATTTTTACAGGATATTTTTGCGCGCGCACAGGAAAATTGCGTTTTAGCTTCTAGAAGAGAATATCGAAATATGCAAAGAAAAACGTACTTTAATTTTTATAGAATTCTTTCATATATAATACACAAATTAGTCGTAAAAGGTTACCAAGACATAAAATGCATATTAATAAAAAAATGTATATAGAACATTTTAAATTAATAAAAGAAGACATTCAAAAATTTCTTTCAATTGAATCATATGTTGATAAATAACACGCACAAATTTCGCATTTTCATTAATAGACAAGAAATAGTAAAAATGCATAAATTATTAGAAAATATTTTTTATTTTCTCGCGTTCTTTCTCTCTGTCGGAGTATTATTTCGTGTCTTATCATGATTATTCATCGCATGTAATACGCAGTCAACTTTTGGTTCAATGCAGTTCGTTACCAGCGAGTGCGGAGAATACGGCAATAGTGTACCAATAAGTTTTCGACACGAAATTGAAATCCTGCGACCTGCGAGCGTAAACTCGTTACTTATTCGTTCCGAAGCACCGTAATAGCGTTGCGAAACTTTCAGTCGGAATGGCATGCTATATCCTCGATCGTTTAGCGTGCGAGCGCGTCTGGCCCTATCGGTGTTTCGTTTCCCTGGTGGCCCGAAACTTAGGCTCGTCGCAACGCATCGCTACGTTGCAATAGTGTTTAGGCTTTAATTTATGTTCTGATGTCGCGATTACCGAAATCACACGTAGAGGACAAATCAAGATACATTGAAAAAAAATTTTCAACTAAATATTATTTTGTTAATTGAACAAAAAATATTTAAATTGAATATCATATATAATATATTATATATTAAATATAATATATTAAATTTAACACGAAACGTATATTTGACTTAAATATATGTTTAATTAACAGAATAATAATTTAGTTGGAAAAGGAAGGATACACTGAAAAAAATTTTTGTTAACTTAACTAAAATTTTCAAATAAATATTACTTTGTTAATTGAACATAAAAATATTTAAATTATATATAATATATGAAATTTAACACAAAACGTATATTTGACTTAAATATTAATATATGTTCAATTAACAAAATAATAATTTAGTTGAAAGGTTTAGTCAAATTAACAAATCTTTTTTTCAGTATAGCATAATTAACGGTAATTTTACGCATTTCTTTCTCCACTTTCTAAAAAAGAGTTCTTTTGTTCTTCTTTTACAATATTTCTGTAATTTTCTCTTAGAATTTACCCTGAAAATCATCGTAATCGTGGGATAATATGATATATTGAAAGAATTTTATAAGAGTTTCTCTGATTAATATTTACATCAAAATAAAAATATGAATATCTACCAATAAAAAATAAAATATGTTACATTAATTTTACTATGTACATACATATTAATATGTATTTTATATTATACCAGGATTACTATTATTTTCAGGGTAAATTCTAAGAGAAAATTCTCTCCGTGTACATAACGAAGGACACACGTATATTTATTCCCGTAGAAAATGTAATTTTAAAAGATATTAATATATGTATATTTTTCTTTTTTTAAATCAAAAATTCTACAGGAATAAAAAAACATGTCCCTTTGTTCCGATCTGAAGATAAACAATATTTTCTGCGGTACGCGTTCTTCGTACCATACGTGTATGTGACGGAACATGTTTTCAGAGCAATAACAAAGAAAATGCGAAATGTTCGACCGTCATTTAGTTCGTAAATATAGATGATTTATCGCCGAAAGGCAGGAAAAATGTAAAAAGCAAGTAGAATTCACGTTTTATCGTTGATCTTTTCCATCTTGCTTTCTTTCACATTCGCGGAGTTATGGATCGCGTTGCAGGAAAAATGGAATCACGCATCGCCGTTTTGTTTTATTAACAGAGTCGTTTTCTTCGCCGATAGCACGTGACCGGCATAATATGTGGACGTTGTATGTGCGAGCAAGTGTTGTAAGTGCGAGAATTTCCTTCCGGATGCTCCGTGGATCCGTGATATTTCGCGTGTTATCTCCTCTGTTCGCCAGTATTTTAAATTATTGAAAAATACGGGACAATTACAAAGAGCAACAGATTTTTACGCGGCTCTCCGTAGTTTGGATAATCGAAAATGATATACATGGAATATCCTCTTAATTTGCCCTTACATACGCATATTATATCAGGGTGTTTAGAATTTTATAAATCTGGAATTTCACTATTTATCTGGATTTTTCACATCATTCTACATTTTTCAATAATTTGAAATTTTTTATTAAATAAATATAAACTTTTCCTTGACAGCGTGTTCGTTAATTTATATTTTCATCGTCGTGTTATTTTATTTCAATGTGTTTGATAGAGACAATATTAAAAAATTTGATATAATATAAAGAAAAAAGGTGATTATTTAAATAGTTTATCGTACATAATGCAGATTGTATAATTGACTTAAATTTTTGTTTTTTTTAACTTCCCAATCTTTTCATTGTTGACAAAAAATCTCAAGGATTTCATGATTTAACATTTAATTAGGGAAAACATTAATTTCTATCTTGAAAAATCTGAAAAAGTCAGGGAATTTTTTTATTAAGTCTGCTGGATACCCTGTACAATATAATTACGTGTGCGATAAATAAAAATCTCTAAATTTATTTTTAACATGTATGAAGAGAAATAATATTTCTAGTCTAAATAATACTAAAAGGGAAAAAAATTAATTTCTGGTTTTGAAAAATCTGAAAAAGTCAGGGAATTTTTTTCATTGAGTCTGCCGAACACCCTGTTATATACGCGATTTATTTTTCAATAAATAAGACTTTGTTAACGCAGCTCGAAAAGATATTCCGGTGTATATGCCGATGCATCATCGGTGCATCGCATCGCAGTGATACGTGCGTATATTCGATCAGACCTGGAAGAGGAGATGACGGGCACAAAGGTTCACAAAAATTCAAAAATGCGAACGAGGTTCTCTCCAACTATCCTTTCATCCTTCTCTTCGCCGGCGTGTAATATCTCGCTCGTGAGTAGGTATCACGTTTGCGTCGGCTTTAAACCGTAGTTACAGGCGGTCGAAAGATGAGACAGGATGATAGAGAGAGAGTTGCTCGTATCATATTTTTACGAGAGCTCGATCCTTCAAAGGCTCATCCCTTTTTTTTTTTTTTTTTTTACCAGAAGAATGATTCTTGCGTTTGTGCGTGGAGGATAAATCAAGCCGACAGTATACCCGGCGAAGAATAATTATAACGCCATATTTTTTGAGTCGCGTGTCCATGGTGCGATAAATCCTTCCCGGGAGAAATTTGTAAGGAAATTGGACGCATTTAATGACGCACGATAAATCTTCATTCCGTGAAATACGACATTATTGGCTTTTTCCTATGGCAGACGGCGAAATGGTTCCCTTCGGGCCTTCGGCGTATCGCCACGCTGCGAGATTACGGCAAACGATAAATAAACATATATATTTTGAATCGAAGATGGGAATCATTTGGCGGAATTAATTTATACCGCTTGTATTAATTATATATACTTGTAATGCTTGACTGTGATGAGAATGTCACAGGAAATATTTGTTCTGATTAATATATTTATATATTAAATATCTATCTCTGAAATTACTAAAACTTATAGGTATACATATTTTTTATTAAGCACATTTTCGTATAAAGTAATAGCATATTTGATATTGCTCATAAATAATATTTCATGCGGATACATTTATTATATTGAATGGTGATTATTAGAAAATTAATATAAATCAGTAAATTATCTCTTATCTCATAAAGTATTAATCAGCAATTTGTAAAATTATTTATTAATTTAATAAATAAAAATTCGTAAAATTACTGACCTAATTAAATTGGATTATATTATGCAAGATTTGATTACACAAGCGATGTATAATGTTCAATATATTATAACTAAATACAAATTTATATATATATATATATATATATATATGTATATAAATATTATTCTCCCCGTTCGTGTTCTAACGTCAAATATACCTATCAAATGCTATTTTATCCACGTCTACAAACCGTATCAAACTGAATGCCACGATCGATCTTTATATACCTACACAATGAATACCTGTACTCACCGTGTTTTTTCGCAAAACGATCGCAATATCGCGCAGTCGGTATCTCATTTGCCTTTTGCGACGGCTTTATATATCAGTGCGGAAAATAGGAGCTGTGTTTACATGGGGAAGTAAAAAGAACCGTGTCACTGCTACGAATATATAGCCAGGTGCATTCGTACATATATACTCATACATTTTTACATATATCCTCATTTTTCGGGAAACGAGCGTAGTCAAATATATAACGAAATATTTTGCAATTGGGTTTCAGGTGGGACCCAAGGAACGAGCATCTCATCCTAAAGGGAGCAGCGGGAGAAGAAAATATGGGAAAAGGGGACAAGAGAGGCATCGCGCAGCGCAGTGATGGTGGTGAGTCTGTTTTGACAATTTTAAATGCTTGAATTAATAACGAGGGAAATAACAGGAGATGTAATATAAATATATCTCAAAGAAATTAAATATTTTTTTCCTAATTTTTCTCATTTATTTTCATTAAAAAGTAACAATATAGCGCAAAGTTCCAAAAGAAGTCTAAAAATATATCTAGAAGGACACGTTTAATAGAATATTTTTTAGATATTTATAAATATTCTTTCAATATTTCAAATATTTTCTAGAACCTTTTCATTTTTTAAAAAACCGAGACAAAATATTTCGAAAAATGTTTATATTAGTGATGAGTGATCGTAAAAACAGACAATTTACATTATATCGAATATTCCTGTTATTTATTCTCGATTATTAATTTTTATTTTTGAGCTTTGACAATTTTAGATGCTTGAATTAATAACAAGGAGAGAAATATCAGAAGATGTAATATAAATATACCTTAAAGAAATTAAATATTTTCCTATAATTTTTCTCATTTATTTATTGTTGATTAAAAAATAACAAAATAGCGCAAAGTTCCAAAAGAAGTCTAAAAATATATCTAGAAGGAAACATTTAAGAGATTAGAATATTTTTTATAAATATTTATAAATATTTTATAATAATTTATATTTTTAAATATTTTTTTCGATATTTTAAATATTTTCTAGAACCTTTTTATTTTTTAACAAATTGAAACGAAACAAAAATATTTAGAAAAATATTTATATTAGTGATGAGTTTGATTGTAAAAACAGACAATTTACATTATACCGAATATTCCCGTTATTTATTCTCGATTATCAATTTTTACTTGAGCTTTGCATGCCTCATATTATTGCGCGAGCTTTGCAATTATGTTTGCAAAACTGCAAACTTTCTTTTTATAATTTGCGGACTTTGAAACAAGAAATCAAGGTAAGAAGATGATTATTTTGCATACATTTATAAGCACCACAATTTCTCATATACATCTCAGATATAAGTATATATATCTATTAAATAGGCGAGAATTCAATTGACTAAAATATATATTTGCCTTCTTTTTTTGCGAATCGATTTCCCTTGTCTCTCGCAAATAAGCGAGATTTACAGGGGTGCTTAAAAACATTTTTCTCGCCCTTTCGCCCGAAAATGGTTTGCTTCGTCGCTTATTTCCGGCGGCGACTCGTGACGCACACGCTTCACGCTCAAGATCGCGATCAAAGGAAGGAACCGCAAACCGGAAACTGGCGCTGCCACGCACGCAAAACGACCAGGGAACGTTTGCCTGTCGATCGAGGTAGTTGTAAGGTGACATTGAACGATCGGAATTTCGATACGGGACTCGGAATATCGGGGCTCTCGCGTGTTATCGACGTTATTTCGAGGGAAAGGAATGGCGCGCGTAGGAACGGAATTGAATCGCAGGGAGAAACAGGGCGGAGAGACCGCACGCTATACGTATATTTGCACTTTCCACCCTTATTTTTCCTTTCCTCCGATTCGACGCGACGCGACGCGCTGTTATTTGCCCGTTGCGTATTTGCGATTACTCGCGCAGGAAATATCTCGATACCGGGCGCGTGAGAGTGCTTGCCCTCTCGATTGCGCACACACTCGCGACATTGTTGCATCCCCGGATTTCGACGCAGTCGCGGTTCCCTCTTCAGCCGCGTGTTTGTTTCGCGATTTTGCGCGTAAGTTGTTTGCGCTGGAAACAAATTTGAAAACGATAGTCAAGTTAAATCAATTGTTATGCACAGAAATTTCTCTTAGAATTTATCCTGAAAATCGCATGCTACAAATTCTTATACATGGAGAGAATTCTCTCTTTGAATTTATTCTGAAATTCATGGTAATTATGGGGCAATATGATATTGGAAGAATTTTATAAAAGTTTCTTTAATTAATATTTATCACAATAAAAATATTAATATGTACATAAAGTAAATTTTACTATGTACAGGGAAAATTAATCGAAAATATTTTATATCTTATTGTTTAGGTATTAATATTTTTTATTGTGGCAAATAGTAATCAGAGAAACTCTTATAAAATTCTTTCGATATTATATTGTCTCATAATTATCATGATTTTGAGGGTAAATTCTGAAAAAAATTCTCTCTAATATTCTGTATAATATTAATATAAATTAGTATTATATAATATATTAATATCATATTAATATATATTAATTCTTAATTATTATTAACTATTATTAATGTTATATTAATATAAATTAGTATTATATAATATATTAATATCATATTAATATATATTAATTCTTAATTATTATTAACTATTATTAATGTTATATTAATATAAATTAATATTATATTATATATATAATATTCTATAATTATTATATATAAATATTACATATAATTATTGTGTATATATAATTATTATAAATTCTTTTATAAATTTTCTCTTATTAATATTTACACCAATAAAAATATTAATATGTACATTTAATCGAATTTATTTTATATCTTATTATGGTAGATATTAATATTTTTGTGGTAAAATATTTAATCAGAGAAACTCTCTTATTATAATATTCTTTCAATACCATATTGTCTCACGATTATCATAATTTTCAGGGTAGTAAATTTTAAGAGAAAATTCTCTCCGTGTATTCAATAATAAGAGACAATTAGAAGGATTAATAGGAGTGAAATAAAAAATATATAAAAAATATAGGTATATAATATTGAAGTTTAAAAATTATTGTTATATAAGAATATAAACTGGAAGCAATATAAAATACATATATCGAAATCCTCGATTTTCGCGCGAATGGTCACAGAGATACGTATGTTCGCGAACAATAATGCATTCCAACGCAGTTTTACATGCAAGAGAATCTGGAATGCTTTCCATGTTACTCGTCATTCGATTTTGTTCATATTCCATGAATGAAAAGATTGAGCACGATTATGCTCTCACTGCATTTGCGATAATAGTATTCGTCAGAATAAACTCTGACACGATCCGTGATTAATCGAAATCAGGCTAATGCCTTATTAGCAAATCTATATTAACGATAAGTAAATTTAATGAATACTAAATTATCCAATAATAATAAAAATATATATGATATAAAGAACATGTATAAATATTCATATTTAGCAGGGTGCACTGAAAAAAAAAATTTGTTAACTTGACTAAAATCCTTCACCGAAATATTTTATTTTATTAATTAAACATATAAAATATTTAAATTAAATATGACATATTAAATCCAACAAAACGTATATTTAACTTAAATATTAATATATGTTCATAATTATAGTAAAATAATAATTTAGTCGAAAGGTTTAGTCCACTTAACAAATTTTTTTTAGTGTGTGCGAATTTTTTATTGAAACCCATCGCGAAATAATTATTCAAGGTGTTGCATAATAAAAATCGAAATAAAAAAAAGCAGGTATGATTTGTCATCGCGAATTAATAGCTGATATGAATATTTTTATGAAAGACATAAAAGTTAAATATTAAGTTCTTCATCAAATATAATAAAAATGGAGTGTCAGATCAAAGACAAAATATTTTCGCGATATATAATGATACATTACGACTTATTTCATGATGCATTACACAGATCGTCTTAAGGGGATGCTGCCGTTGTTTTATTTTGCCGACTTTAAGTTAGGTTCACTTTTTATCGAATATACAGATTGAAGAATCTTTTGATACTGGCTTTTAATCTCATTTTTATTACTTCTGTATTATTCTTTCATATCATCTCTATTGGGAGCGCCATATTTTGTGCACAAATAAACTGCAGAACTTTTGTATTAAATAAATATTGTTATGAGCTGATGCAAGAGACCGATAAAAAAACTGTAATTTTTTAACTTTTATTCTTTTTTTATACGAATTTACAGCGCTACCCGTTTATTATTATATGTACTTTAATTGTGAAAAAGGATATTTTAATCTGTAGCCAATAAAATAAAAAGCACTTGAACTTAATGTCGGTAAAATAGTCGTGGTCAGAGAGAAAGAGGATCTTATGTCTAAAGTTTCCTCGCACGTACACATAAACCTTAATAACAGACTGTCGACAGCGTGTCGACGACAGATGCACATCCAGCACCCTCAAAGATCATCCCCAAGGCTATTGTCTGTCCGCTACGTCTATCTCGATACGCATCCAAGACTGCACTTTTCCCAACCTGCCTTACCTTTATCCTTTCGTGATTCGCCTGCCTTTTTCTTCGATGCTTCAGTCTGCTTTGTGGAACGCAACGAGATAATGCAATTCATAAGGCTCGACTATAATGCGATTCGCGACGTTTCCATTAAAGACGCGCCGAGCTTTCGTCAGAAGGATTTACTATGTCTTTAATTCGCAAAAGATCTCTTTTGATGTTAATATGATCCATTTTAATGTTACGTCACTGCATGAGATATAATTACGCGGTGTTTAATTATTTAACAGAGTTATATCTTATCGAAGGAATTCTTGTAAAATGTCATACATGTACATATATTTGAGAAAAATTTCAATGTTGTAGACATTCACGTTTTTGATGTTACAATAAATTGCTTTCTCGGAAACTATTAAAAAGCGACAAAATTCTCTTTTGATCCTTCAAAGTTTGTTGGAATTCTTTATGAAACAACTTTTTCATCAATTTTATTAAGTAAACCCGTTTCGTTTTTTTTTAATCTTATTTTTCTTCGTGGAATCTATTATATTAAATGTAGACTAAGATATATTAAATTAAATAAATAGAAAAAGTTTATTATATAATTTAATAAATAAAAATATATAATATGAAAAATAACTGTGAGATTGAGAAATATGTTATTTTGATTATTAAGTGAGCAAAAAAAATTGAGCAGACGCAACAGTATCTTTCCATTGAAACGAAGCTCAAGGCGCGGAAAAGCTCTCTCTATATTTCCTTTTCTCTCGCAATCACATCTCTCATCTTCTTGTCTCAACTTTGCAAATACAAGCGAGCGCGGGCGTTCTGTCGTCGCTCTGATGCATCCACGAGCAAATAGATAACTCGCGCGATGCCCTGCATCGAGGAGGTGTGCACCTGAAGTGACAAACGGCCCACCAACACGTGCCACCTTTGTGTCGGCGTGTTGCTTTTGTTGAACCGCGCTCGTATTGTTTCGCTAAAAGAGCCATCTAACGCGTCGAATTTTGAACAGTTTTCTTGGCCCCGTTGTGCGTTCACGAATGGAATTTCGAATTGCGCATTGTGTCGTCAAATCCAATTCGAATTAAGTCGTTTCTTCTATATGCGTATATACAGGATGGTGTCCCAGAAACTGATGGAAAAACTTTTAATGGCAGATTCCTGGTATCATTTCGAGACGATTTTTTCTCAGCGAAAATGTCGAGACATCAAGAATTTTTGATATAATAAAGGCTTTTTTGGAAACTAAGCCTTGTGGAAATAAAATATTAACAGAACTATATTCTTCAGTTAATATTTTAGATAATTTGCTTTAATAGAATTTTAATATAAGGCTTACACTGTAAAAAAATATGTAATATATTACACAAAAATATGTAAAATTACATAAATAATAAGTGTAAAATTGCACGTTAAATAATAGAAACGTTTACTTTTTCATTATTTATCATGTAATTTTACATTTATTATTTATGTAGTTTTACATATTTTTAATGTAATTTTACATTTTTTTTTACAGTATAGTTATAAAGATACATAATAACAAAAAATGAGAACATGCTAAAAATGATGGCTTCTATCAACATTTTTACTAAGGAAAAATCGTCTCCAAATGATACCAGCAATCTGCCATTAAAAATTTCCGCCAGTTCTGGGACACTCTGTATATATGTCGTGAAAAAATTATCTAATTTATTCTCGTATTCCTGTGCATTATTAATAAAACCAATTTAAAAAATACGATATATAATAAACTCATAATATACATATTAGATTACAAAAAGAAGAGTCTTACATTATTACTTATTATTGTACTTACGTTCGTGAATTATATGTCATACGATGCACATAAACTATCGTTTTATTGCTCGAATGTTGACGAAGGAGATGTAATACTTAAGAAAAAAAAACTAAGCTCAGGGGGACAATACCCGTTTACCTTGACCACGTTGTTAAGTGATTAGATGCGCCATCGTGATTAGCATAATTCGCGCATGAGTGCTAAAAAGGTGCGCGTGTCGACTGATGAAACGCGAATTTTCAAACGCAAACTATTGCAGTTTTTTTTTTCTCCACTCGCACAAGATAGGAACAGCAAGTTGATTCTTGCATGTACGCGTTTATTAAAAATTGCTGTGGCAATTAACGAAAATTATTAGAGTGTATTATTATTGATTCTAATTTTGATAGGCAATATTGGTGAACGGTAAAAATGATAAAAATGTTTGAGAAACAATAAAAAGTGACGTTTTCAATTTTCGTCGCAGTAATTCCGTACCGAATGCATCGACGATTGCAACTAGAGCGACACGTAATGCATTATCCAAAGTGGTTGCTCGCGTCAATAGTCGGCTAGGTATGTATGTACATATGTATTTGCTTTTGCCTTACCACGTGTCGAGATGCGATGCGAGGTGGCACCTTTAGATTCACAATGCGACTGATTGAACGGGAAATGTTTGCAGGCTCTTAAACGTTGAATAGCTTCGTTATCGGACGCGGTAGGTAAAATGTCGAGAAAAAAAATCAGAAGAAAGATATAATACGTGGCTAAATATAATGTAGCTTGAAAAGAACTGGTGACATATTTTCAGCAATGATCGTAAACTTGAGAATTATATAGCTAGAAATTCCTCTTTTTCTTGGAGACGCTCCAAATATCTTATGCATTTTTAATTCAAAATTTTCAATTATTATACACAAAGTAGCAAAAATATTTTAATTACTCTTCGAGGAATTTGTGTAGAGTTTTCTGTAGCAAAAAATTTGTCGCGAGTTCTTATAATGTTCTAAATTTTAATATTCTAATAGATGTTATCTTGATACGTGCTACAGTTTAAACTAAAGTTTTATCAAAATAGATAAAATTTTTTAATTAAACAAACGAAGAAATTTGAAATATTATTCATTTCTTTCGAAATTAGTTTTCAAAATTTAGTTCAAACTAAAAGACAAATGTCAAAATATTTCAACTCCACGCAGATATCGGATTTAATATTTTTAATTAATTAATTATCAACATCACACGCGATATTTTATGCGATCTTCGTTACAAGATAAAGAATTCTAAAAGAATTAAAATCTATAACACGCGTATATATATATATATATATATAACACTTCTATATTTCATATTTTTTATGATGTGAGCCGAAAGGGCGTAAAAACATGTCAATGTCGTTGGGAGGTGATCAAATTTTGCATCCGTAACGAAGTTTGTTCGTCGAAACCAGGCGAAAACGCAGACAGATATTTTGGGTTATACAGGTTCAGATAACTTTATTGCTTTCTCTCTCCTTTCTCTGCGTACGTTACATAAATATTCGTCTGATTACAGCGTACTAGAGCCTACCTCCTATATCACATGTGGAAAAGCTGCAAAAGTGTAATGCTCTTGCCTCTCGGCTACGTACAAAAAAATTTACAGTAATTAAGCGCGCGCTCGCTTTCGCACGCCATGTTTGCGCATGCAAACGCGATGACAAACGAGATGTCATGTTTTCTTCCTTTATTCGTTTTTTTACAGCTATACGTAACATATTACACGCTAAACACGACGTTGGCTATTGGGTCAATATAAAAGACTAATTGATTACTAATTTAATATGTTTCTGACGTTATTTAAGATAAATACTGCTCGCTACATTTTAAAAGTTGACATCTTTTTTATAATGTCTCTTAAACTATATAAATGACTATCTAACGTGCACTATCATTGAAATAAGCGGATAGAAAAATATCATTTTTAGTTCGCAATGATTAGAATAAAACAATTGTTTTCTCTAATATACAATGTATGTTATTGTATATAATCTTCGTAATATTAATGACTTAATACATCAAAGATAGCATAATGAATTTTATTTGACTTATTAGTTACATCCTCTTCGTCCTTAGCTCGATAACTTTCTTCGAAATGTGTTTTATGAGTATTCATCTTTCAGAGACGAGAATTTGTAGATATCTGACAATTATGAATAATTGTGTTGCTGGGTAGAAAATAAAAGATAGCTTGTTTAAAATTTAAATTTTATTTTTATTTATCTATACACAGAGACTTTTCTTTTAGAATTTATCCTAAAAATCATGATAATAATGGGACAATATACTATTGGAAGAATTTTATAAAAGCCTCTCTGATTAATATTTATCATAATAAAAAATATTAATATCTACCACAATGAAATATAAAATGTGTTCGAGTAATTTTATTATGTACATAGTAAAATTTACTATGTACATATTAATATTTTTTATTGTGGTAAATATTAATCAGGGAAACTTTTAATTCTTCCAATAGCATATTGTCCTACTATTATCATGATTTTCAGAGTAAATTCTGAAAGAAAATTCTCTCTGTGTATGTGGAACGTATTTCCAGGTATTAATGTTTATGGATATTTTTCAAACGTATTTATATGCTTTTTTACGTTAAATATATAGAACAATATATTTTAAAATTTATATTTAACTTTATTATTAGCACGTTTTTAAACATTTTATTTAACTCAATTTCATGTCCACTTTTATTAAAATTCATGACACAAAAATATCGTGCTACGTCGTATATTTGTCTCTCAATAATTGTTTACAAAATATTTATTCACTGCATAGGAATTTATCGCAATTATCCGACTCGATCTTGCTTAATCTTTACTAAAACTATCGCCGATATCGTGACGAGTAGTAGTATCAAGATTTTTCGTTCCGCAAACATCTAAGTCTACTTACTGAGCTCTTTCATCCAGCAACACAAATATTTGTACAGAGCAGATAGAAGTCACACACACACCACACACACACACACACACACAAATTGATTCGCAGTAACTCGAAACTTTCTATTCGATCTTCTGTTAATTTCGACGAGACTTTCTCTCTTCCCTTTTCTCTGCCCAATTGACATTTCTCGCTCGAAGGACGAAGGGTGGAATCTTATTGCGAATGTTATTGATTTGACGCGTTGTCATAGAACTTCATGACTTCTGCCCTGGCGGCATCCGCGAGAGGACCTCTGCATGGGTTAGGATCCCAATTAACCCCGGGGCAGCCCATCGATTCGAAACACTTTACGAAACGATTGTTATTGGGCGAACAACATTGAACAATTGCCCAGACACATGGTCCAGGATTTCGTGCGGGCGGCCGCGAAGTCGGAGGAACGGGAAACCTTGGCGCTTGTATGCCTCCGCGATTTGGATTTATCCCCTGAAAACAGTTCGTTAAATTTAAATTTCTTTTACCTTCAATCAGGGTGTCTAGCGGTCAGGGAAATCTGGAAAACCGGGCATCGTCAGGGAATTTTATCAATCTGGAATTGTCAGGAAATTTTACTATTTATCGGGATTTTTTTACATTATTCTACATCTCAATAATTTGAAATTTTTTATTACATAAATATAAACTTTTCCTTGACTCCCAGCACGCTAATTTTCGGTGTTAAAAATCGATTCATCTACAGCGTGTTCGTTCATTTATATTTTCATCGTCGTGTTATTTTATTTCAATGTATTATATATTTCAAAATATATTATAACATTGCTCAAGAACTTCATTTTAATTTATTTTTTAATTAAAAATTATTACATTAATTTTATTAAAAATGTTTTGTTTCGATTATCGTACATAATGTAGATTGTAATTAATTTAAATTTTTTTAAACTTCCGAACCTTTTCATTGTTTACAAAAATATCTCAAGGATTTAATTGATTTAGCATATAGATAGATGCAAATTATCTATTTGGAACAAATAATACTAAAAAGTCAGGGAAAAAATTCATTTCTGTCTTGAAAAATCTGAAAAAATCTGGGAATTTTTTTCATTGAATCTATTGAATGACATCCTGTCATTGCAACTATAATATAATTACGTGTGCGATAAATAAAAATCTCTAATTTATTTTTGACATGTATGAAGAGAAATAATATTTATATATAACTTGCAACAATGACAAATAATATTTTATTAATATTTTTATTTAGCACACACATCGCTTCTTTTATTTGATTATTATACATCATCTAAATAAGTCGAAATAATACTAAAAGGAAAACAAATTAATTTCTTGGAAAATCTGAAAAAGTCAGGAAATTTTTTTTCATTAAGTCTGCTGGACATCCTGTCGTTCCAACTATAATATAATTACGTGTGCGATAAATAAAAATCTCTAAATTTATTTTCGACATATACGAAGAGAAATAATATTTGTATATAACTTACAACAAAGACAAGTTAATATTTCACGAATATTTTCTTCAGCCCACATATCACTTCTTTCATTTAATTATTATACATCGTCGTTTTCGACGACGAATATTGCGAGACAATATCGAAGAGCTGGACTAGACGAGGACGCGCTGCTCAATGCTCGGTCAATTAAGCGAAACAAAGGGCGCGACGAAAGGGGCGACTTGTCGAAGAGGGTCGAAATCCGCCGCAACTTGCCGTATGGTTTAATGAAGCACGCTTCGGTTCGGTAGCGCGAGACAATCGGCGACGGCCGCACGAGATCGAATTCGCCGGTAAACGAAGCGCTCGCCGGATCGAGTTCGCGCGATCGAAGTAAAGTGCTTTGATAGACAAATGGGAAAGGACTCACCGTGAAATCGATCTCGTTATTGAAGCCATCCCTCGATAGCACCGCCGGCGAGACGGACGACGAAGGTCCTGGACGGACTACAATTATCCTTGCGCTCACCGGCAGCGAGTTGAGTCTGACTAGTTCCTGACGTCTCCACTGGTCGGTCTCCTTCGGTCTGTACTCCTTTATTCTGCGACAGATGGGAAATAGGGAATAGGGTCGTCTTCATCGAACGCGCGAGTCAATTCTCTATAGCCCCGATCACATGCAAGGGTGTTAATTAAAGTTGTGAATTGTTGCCATTTGGATTCACGAAATACTTGAGACTGAGCGAAGTTTGTTAAATTCAATCAAGAGCGATTTTTTAATCGTGTCTTATTTTCGGGACAAATATTAATAACTAAATATAGTAATATTAATATAAAATAAGAAACACTGATTATATATGAGAAATCTTATCGTATTTAATTTATATTTTATTTTATGTTATTTTATAATTTATTTTTTATAGCATATTTTTTTATAGTTTATGATGAAAAATTTATAAATTTATAAATGTGGAAATTTACATGTTAAAATAATTGTAATAATATGTAAATTCATACACGGAGAGAATTTTCTCTTAACATTTATCCTAAAAATTGGTGGTAATCGTGAAACAATATGGTATTGGCAAAACTTTATAAGAGTTTCTTTGATTAATATATACCACAATAAAAAAATATTAATATGTACATAGTAAATTTTACTAAAAATTAATCGAACATATTTTATATTTTATTGTGGTAAACTTTTTCAATACTTTTATATTGTCTCATAATTATTATGATTTTCAGAGTAAATCCTAAGAGAAAATTCTCTCTGTGTACATTTATAAATTTTTATCGTGAATTATAAATCGTGTAAAATATGTCATAAAAAATAAATTATAAAATGACATCGAAAAAATGTAAATGTATATTATTATTATTATAATTATAATAATAATTATAATTTATAAATTAAAATTATTTATAAAAATTTATAAAATACATTATATATTTATACACGTATTTTAATTCTTAAGAATTCAGATATCCTTTAGATTCTTAATTCTTCAGATATTTTGTTGCAAACGGAATGTTTTTTGTTTCAAATTTCTGTCGCGTTTTATTCGCGTCTCATAAATTAAAACAGACTCGAGCATTAAAAATTTATACTCGTCAATTCCATCACGATAATACCACTCTTTAGCAATAAAAGGAAACAAGAGGAAAATAAAAAGCAACAAACAGACGTTAATAATAAGCTTTGATAGCGTGGTGCAAATAAAGTTTGCCAGGCGGAAACTTTGTTTTTACAAAACGCCGCGTCCCGAGAGGATTCTTACGTACCTGCTATCATCCAGTCGCCGTCTCTCGGCCTCCAGCCGTTGCTTCTCGCGTTCCGCCGCCAACCTCCTGGCCTCTTCGTCTCGTACCAAATTGCTCGGAATCGGTTGACTATCCTGCCGTCTTCTGTGCTCTTCCAAAAGCCGAGGATCTTGATGGTAGTAGGTCGTCCTCGTGGCTTCCGGCAGTCTGCTCCAGGATCGTTCTCTCTCCTGTCTCCTTCTCTCGGCCTCCAACCTCGTCGCCTCCAACCGCTTCCTTTCCTCCTCGTATCTCCTGGATTCCGCCTTCCTAGCCTCTTCCTCTCGTCTAGCCGCCTCCTGCTCTCGCGATCGTCTCTCCCTTTCCTCACGCTGTCTCATGGCGAGTTCCTTCTGTCGCTGCTCCGCCTCGTACCTCTGCCGTCTCTCTTCCTGCAGCCGTCTCTCTCGCTCCTGCTGCCACTGTCTGACTTCCTCCGGCGAGGAAACTCGCCGATCGATATTGTACGTAGGTGCGGACGGGCCGTGATGCCTTCTCGCTCCTGAATCGGGATACCTAACGGGATCGCGACGCCTAGCGTCCTCGATCAGCCTCCGTTCCTCTAACAGGTTACGTTCCGTTATGCCCGATTGATCGCTCCTAGAAGGCACATTCACCGGCTGGTTCCTCCGGATGTAGTCCCGCAGCTTTTGCTCCTCCTCCTGTCTCCTACGTAGCTCCTCTTCCTCGTTCCTGCTAGTGTTTCTCCGCGGATCTCTGCCCTCCTCGGGTCGATAGCGTCGTCTATCTTCCTCCGACCTGCGATCGGCGTGAGTGACGTTGATGGGTTGATTTCGCGCGATATATTCCCGTAGCTTCTGGTCCCGCACTCTCTCTTCCTCTTGCGCGCGTCTTTCCTCATCTCGATCACGCTGTCTGATATCGTTCGGGTGATTGATTCGGTGTCCCGTGTGCATCAAGTTCGACGGTGGCTGCTGTCGCCTTGTCTCGTCCTCTTCCTGCTGCCTCCTCTTCTCCGACCATTCCCGGCGACGATCCTCCAGCCGTCTTCTATCACCCTCCGAAAGATCCCTTCCGCGCTCCTCTTTCTTCCTTCTCTCCTCTTCTTTCTTCCTTCTTTCCGCTTCTTGTTGCCACCTATATTGTTCCTCCCGTTTCTTGTCTTCTTCTTTCTTCAACTGTCTTTGTCGCTCTTCCTCTCTCCTTCTTGTCTCTTCATCGGGAAGCTTTTGCTTTCTTTCTTGGTTGCTCATAGAGGTTTTGGAGTCCCATTTTCTCGCGTTTTCTTCCTTTCCTTTATTATTGTATCGCCTCCTAGCTTCTTCCTCTTCTTGCACTCGTCGTCTTTGTTCCTCTTCTTCTTTCCTTCTTGTCTCTTCATCGTGAAGCCTTTGCCTTCTTTCTTCGTTGCTCATAGGGGTTTTGGAGTCCCATTTTCTCGCGTTTTCTTCCTTTCCTTTATTATTGTATCGCCTCCTAGCTTCTTCCTCTTCTTGCACTCGTCGTCTTTGTTCCTCTTCCTCCCTCCTTCTTGTCTCTTCATCGTGAAGCCTTTGCCTTCTTTCTTCATTGCTCATAGGGATTTTGGAGTCCCATTTTCTCGCGGTTTCTTCTTTTCCTTTATTATTGTATCGTCTCCTAGCTTCTTCCTCTTGCATCTGTCGTCTTCGTTCCTCTTCCTGCTTCTGTCTCTCCTCCATCTGTCGTCTCTGGGTTTCCTCGTCGTCGGTCCGAGGTGTCGACGTATAATACATCCTGCTACGATTTCTATTGTACTGCGTCTTTCGCATCTCATCCCTCCTTCTCGCTTCCTCCTCCCATCTATTAGGTGTCTTTTGGCCACCACCCTGTTGCACTCGCCGAAGTCGCTCCTCCTCCTCCTCTTTTCGCCTCTGCTCGAGTAGGTTCTCGTATTCCCGTCTGATGCTATCGACGTCGGGATTTATTCCACGATGCTGGTCACGTCGTCCGGATACATCCTGATGGTATCGCATATCGTGCTGCCTGCGACGCTCATTCACGGTCTGTAATTCGTCGCTGGATACGACACCTTCGTCCTCGCCAAAGCCCCAATTGGCCGACCGCTTCGCGCGTTTTCGCCCGCCCATTCCGATTTGCTCCGAAAATCCCTCGATATTTGCCTCGGTGAGCCGCGCCAACCCACGATCCCCGATAACGCCGCCGTCGTCGGAAACGAGCTTTCCTTTAGCGCTCTTTTTGGATTCAACGTCTATGGGTTTTCGCGACTTTTCTCGATCCGTCTCGTGTCCGCGGTAATGCTGCGGAATCGATTGACCCAAGTCGCCCCGGCTCGGCAACTTTTCCAGCTTAGACCCGTCCGGACGATCGGAATAGAGATGCCTCGCGTCCATGTCGCCCCGGTTCGGCCTAACCTTCTGCGTACTGGACTCGAATTTCCTCAACTTGAACAACTCGTCCATCTCCTCGTCGTCCTCCTCGTCGTACGACGGATCGTAGTCGAGATCGAGGGATATTGGCATCAAGTCCAGCAGCGCGGACGCCGGTACAATCCCTTCCTCCTTGTTGTCGGGCGCATCTATCGATCTTTTCGTCTTGTGGGACGATGGCGACGCTTCCAGGCCCTCGCATCCAACCTGTAGCTCCGGCACGCCGCCGACGTCGAAGGCGTATCTGTTGACGGAGGGTGCCTCGGTTCGTTGCTCCTCGAAGAAGTTCGATTGCCTGTGATGAATCTTCGGGTCTACCGTCGTAGACTTGATCTCCGTTGTTTTCGTTTTTGGATTCAGCTGACTCGTCTTCTTCGGCGCTTTACTCTTGTTTCTAGACGGTAAATCCGCGGAGGGCGTGGTCGCGGTCGGAAGCAGAGCCTTCTCCTTGGACAGGTCCAGCTTGTAAATTTCCATCGATCCCGGACCTTGATCCTGGAACGTGTCGTCGGCCACAAAGCGGTCGTCCAAGAGATCCGAACGAGGCACCATCGCCTCGCGCGAAAGCGTCCCCGGCATCTCGTAACCGTAATCGACTTTGTCGGCCGCGAATTTCGTGGTGGTGATATTTGGCAACCGCTTCTGCCAGCTCGAGAGGGAGTAGCGCTTTGACGAGACAATGTCCTTCAGAGGTTTCTCGAGCGAAAAATCTTGCTCGCCAAACTTGGCATTGTGACGTAGAGCTTTTAACTCTAGAAAATATAATAGGAGGGATTTGAATTGACATTTCGCGAAACAGATAATTGCTTATTTTATAATGGTTATACATACATTTTTTATTTTAATGAATTGTGTGTTTATAAAAAAATATAATATTTGAAATAATTATTTTTATTATTCTTTTCGTGGCATATTTGCCATAAAATATTTTACACGCACATACATATACAGATTTTTTATATAATGCATATATATGTAACTCAATTCTGTTTTTTGTAAATTATTATTTAATTAGATTATTTAGCAATTATTATGCAAATTTTAATGCAAAACTTGGTATTGTGGCGAAGAGCTTTTAACTCTAGAAAACATATAATAGGAGGGATTTGAATTGACATTTCGAGAAACAGATAATTGCTTATTTTATAATGGCTATACATATATTTTTTATTTTAATGAATTCTGTGTTTTAAAAAAAAAACATATTTAAAATAATTATTTTTATTATTCTTTTCGTGGCATATTTGCGATAAAATATTTTACACGCTCCTACATACAGATTTTCCATATAATGCATATATGTAACTCAATCATGTTTTTTTTTATAAATTATTATAATGCAAAACTTTTTCAGAATACGTGCAAGGCAAGTGATTGCATTAAGAAATTTAAAATGACATCGATGTATCGAACAAACTTCTATTTGAAATTACATATTATTGAGTAAAATTTATGACACAAATTAAGATATATACTCGGAAAGGCTTTAATTATTTTTACGAATATAGATCTTTTAATAAAGGTTTGATTTTGATTTAATATGTACAGACACGCGCGAGAGATTCTTTAAAAGATATTTAATAACGATTTTATATGCTCGGTTAGAACTAATTTAGTTGCATACTATAACGACGCAAGTAATACTCGACGCCAATTTATTACTCTGAAATTCTTGCATGCTGTTACAATGTAAAATTGTGTATGTGTGTGTGTGTGTGTATTACTCGAAAGATATAGATTCTCCATTATTCTCCTAAATAATCGTTATGCTCCTTAATTAATCGCTTCACGCTCTTCAATATTAACAACGCGTATAGCAAGTTTACCAATATTTTTTTTTATACTTTTCTTCCTAAATATTTTTTATGTCAAAAATTATATTTCTCTAGAACTGTTGCTTTATCAATTAATACAATGCCTTAATAGAAATCTATTTTTCTTGTTATTACATTTATAACGTGGGATAAAAATGAAGTAATAAAATTATTTAGAATTAAATGCATATTGTGGGAAAATTCGAGCTTTTAACAGTTATAGGCGGTATTGCATTCGATACTGAAATTGCACGAAGATGACGGCTAAAGAGAGCTTAATTAATCAGGAAAGCCGGGGCAAAAGGGAGAATCGGGACGAACGGATTTCCACCGGTTAGGTCGAGCTTCGCTCGACGCGTTTCGACGCGACGTATATTTCGTCTCCATTAAACGGCGGCACGACAGAATTAAATCGCTGACGTAACTGAAGCTAGAACTTGAACTAGAACGCTATATACATATATATATATATATATATCCATCTAGCAGATAGAAAGTGCCAAGTACAACACCAAATATAAATAATAAAATATTGGAAGCACGTTTCTCTATTCAGCGTTGTTTATGTGCCAGATACTTTACTGAAAGATTTATATCTAGTAGTTAAAATATTAATAGAATGAAAATATTGTAGGTAACATATTATATTTTCCGGGAAAAATATTTATAAATATGTAAGGTATAAAGAACCTTAATCAAGTAAAATTATTATAAGAAAAAAAAACGTTTTGCTCCGATATTTCCAAGATGTCTAGCGGTCAGGGAAATCTGGAAAACCAGACATTGTCATGGAATTTTATAAATCTGGAATTGTAAGGGAAAAGTTAGGATATTTTACTATTTATCTGAATTTTTTTTACATTAAGAACCTTAATCGAATATTAATCAAGTAAAATTATTATAAGAAAAAAACGTTTTGCTCCGATATTTCCAAGATGTCTAGCGGTCAGGGAAATCTGGAAAATCAGACATTGTCATGGAATTTTATAAATCTGGAATTGTAAGGGAAAGTTAGGATATTTTACTATTTATCTGAATTTTTTTTATATTATTCTATACATTCTCAATAATTTGAAATTTTTTATTAAATGAATATAAACTTTTCCTTGACTCCCAGCACGCTAATTTTCTGTGTTGTTAAAAATCGATTCATCTACAGCGTGTTCGTTCATTTCTATTTTCATCGTTGTGTTAATTTATTTCAATGTGTTTGATAGAGACAAAGCTAAAAAATTTGATATAATATAAATAAAAAAAGGTGATCATTTAAATAGTTTATATGCAAATTATATATTTGGAACAAACAATACTAAAAAGTCAGGGAAAAAATTAATTTCTATCTTGAAAAATCTGAAAAAGTCTGGGAATTTTTTTCATTGAATTTGCTATACACCCTGTCATTGCAACTATAATATAATTACGTGTGCAATAAATAAAAATCTCTAAATTTATTTTTGACACGTATGAAGAGAAATAATATTTGTATATAACTTGCAACAGAGACAAATTAATATTTTATTAATGTTTTGATTTAGCTCACACATCACTTCTTTTATTTGATTATTATACATCGTCTAAATAAGTCTAAATAATACTAAAAAAATAATACTAAAAATATTATAAATTTTTGGTCTTGGAAAATCTGAAAAAAATCAGGGAATTTTTTTTCATCGAGTCTGCTGGACACCCTTAAAATAACGAGGCAAGAAATTAACATTTCAAAATAACGTTACACATTTTTTCCGTATATTTGATCGTACGGAAGAAAGAAAAGAGATAAATGAGATTTACACTAAGCTTTTCCTCAAATATCCTGAAAATGGCGATCTTGCATTCGACATGGCTCCTCGAATTAATATCGGGACGCGATATAGTACCTTATTTCGTTGAGCGAGACGTAATGCTATAAAGTCTGACATACCCTCCGCGGAAATCGACCTTCGCGAGCCGATCCAAAGGTCGAGCGGTTGATCCTCGGCTAGTTTGCGAGCTCTCCAGTCTCTGGTCTGGTCTCGTTGAAGCTCAGGGTAGCGATGCGGGGTCGTGGGGGAGTATTGATCGTCGAACAGGTGGAGGGTGACTGTTTCTCCTAGCAGACCCGCCACCGTGAACCAAACCGTGGCCAGAGCCACTGTCACCCGTGGCTGCATCCTCCTGCAATCAAACGAAAGGTTCCCTCGTTATTCAACCTCAGTCGAGCACTCTGACTTACTTGGCTTGCACATTGATAGAATCTCTAATCTCTTAATCCGAATTGAAATTATGCTTAAATCTTCGATCTTACTCTTGCCAACATTGATCAGTTCCGAAGAATTTTTATCGATTTAATTTGTGAAAATTAATTAATTAATTTCTCCCTCTCTTTCTCTTTATTAAAAATTGTATGAAATTCTGTTTAGATTTATAATTAATATATTATACTAATTTTTAAATTTTAATTACCTGAAGTTACCTGTCATTCATAATGGATTTTGTATTTAAAAAAATGTGAAAGTTTTAATATTAGAGACAAAATAAATTAGCAACTTTCATAATTTATATGTGTAATTTCAAAGAATTAATTTATATCGTAATTTTTTAGAGAGAAAAATTAAATTAACTAAAACAAATTAAATTAACTAAAATAAATACTATATTATTGGTATTAGTAACTACGCTTTATGAACTTTATATCCAGTCCGTGACGGAAAAATGAATACGAGATAACCATGATAACACGACACTTCGCATTAAATGTAGAAATTAAAAATCACTGAACCAAGAACTGGAAAAACACACAGAAAGAGGAAGAGGGAGAAAAAAGTAAAATCAGATTACATAATATCAATATATTTTTAATTACTTTTAAAATAATTATTTTTTTAAATAGAATAATTCTTTCTCTATAAATCTTGTTTACAAATAGTACATACTTTAATACTCTAAAGCTTTTATTTTAATTATTTAATTATTAAGATTTGCAATAAGATATATAATGATCAAAAAGCAGAGTTTGAGTTATAGATTTAATAATATTAAAAGAGATTTTAAAAAAGTTTTTTATAAGTAAAAATAGAAATAAAATTCTAATTCGATAGAATTTTGCGGTTCTAAATAGAAGTTAAATAATATCAAAAGAGATTAATATGATTCTCCATTTTATTAAATGTTAAATTGAAAATTGAGGTAAAAGGAATAGAAGCAAATTCTGATTCAAAAATCCTTGAATGTATTTCTGTGAGTCGAGTTTTTATATGAGAGAGAAAGAGATTTCTTGATGCAATATCATAAATGTAGTAAGAGAAAAACTATTGAGCGGCAAATCTCTCTATATCACTAAAAGAAAAAAAGATACCAATATTTTAACGTAAGAAATTAAAACTCCAGACTCTTATTTTAATTATTTATGAATATACAAATTATTTTTTAAAAGACAAAGTTTTTTTTTGTAAAATAGATTAAAAAATAAATTATGAAGCACAAAATTTCAGACTCCATATATACAGGGTGTCACACTGAAAATATACAAGTAGATGTTAAATATTTGGAGAGTTTTTTCCTCGACAAAAATATTAAGGCATCAATAATTTTCGAGTTATAAGCGATTTAATTGATTTATCATATATTTTGTAAAAATAATATACTAAAAAGTCAGGGAAAAAATTAATTTCTGGTCTTGGAAAATCTGAAAAAATCAGGGAATTTTTTTCATTGAATCTGCTGGACACCCTGTATAATATAATTACGTGTGCGATAAATAAAAATCTCTAAATTTATTTTTGACATGTATGAAGAGAAATAATATTTGTATATAATTTGCAACAAAGACAAATTAATATTTTTCTTCAGCCCACACATTTCTTTTATTTGGTTATTATAAATCGTCTAAATAAGTCTAAATAATATTAAAAAATAATACTAAATAATACTAAAAGGGAAAAAATGAATTTCTGGTCTTGGAAAATCTGAAAAAGTCAGGGAATTTTTTTCATTGAGCCTGCTGGACACTGTCACTATAACAATCACCTCTAGCGCGAATCTTATATCCAAGAAAACAAGGCAGTAATAGTCAGCTCTCTCTCTAACTCTTTGAAAATCTCAAACAACCACCTATCGCCACTCTGTCCGCGAACTCCAGCATCCTTCAAAGGATCGATCCATCGCTTTGAAAGATGAAAGCAGGTATATCGAGACAGCCTATATATCGACTCAGCCTATACCGGGTGTCTGGTGACTCGCGTTTTACACGTTAATGGGAGATTCCTGAGGCGATTTGGAGACGATTTTTCCTCAATGAAAATGAAGAGAAACGTCATTTTTTTAATGTTCCCAATTTTTGAAATCATGTATCTAAGTAACTAAGCATTAAATTAAAATTCTATTACAGTAAACTTTACTTACAAAAAAACTTTTATTTTCAATCATTTGTAACTCAAAAATTATGAACATTTTCGCTGAGGAAAAATCGTCTCCAAATCGCCTCAGAGATCTCTCATTAACGTGTTAAACGCGAGTCACCCTGTATAATACCGAGAAAGCCTACCGTGCAACTCTCGAACGACACTCGAAGTAACCCTCTCTTCGATTTTCGGATCTTGCTCCTCCTGCACACGAATCTGCTGGCACTTTGCTAGCGACACTTCTCTCTCTCTCTATCTATCTCTTGCTCACCCAGCAAACGAGAGAATGAACGAATGGGTGGATAGAGAGAAGTCGATATCAACGACGGATCGAGTGATCTTGACACACTGCCCGCGTCAGGTCGAAGTAGCTAAACTTAATATCGTGGCGAAGGAGAAGTCGAGGAGAGAAGGCAGTTCGCGTAGAATCAATTCTCGTGTCCGCACGACGCGCCAATTGACTTCCGCCCGCTGACGTCACATTTCTCTTTCTTTTGCTCCTCGGCCCAGTTGACCGAAAGAATGCAGGTATATAATTTTGATCAATCCGAAGTCCGCCGGTGGGTTGGTTTCTCCATTGTTGGCAGGTAGTGACGTCGAGGAGACGTGGAATTTTGCCAGGTGTCGTATTTGGTTTCTTTTGCGATGACACGAGGCGACGGTTTGAAATGTCAAAGATATCATGCGCGGAAAGTACAAGCATAAAGTAAGTTCCATTATCTGAACTTCCGCGACTTCCTATACCGATAACGATATGAATCACTGTGAATGTAATGCAGATTTTCAGTCATATCTAAATGAACATGCACTTAAGAGAAAGAATTTTGAATACTTGAATTTTTAGCCCCTTTTATTATTTATTTCTGCTCATAAAATAATGTTGGTGAAACTTTTGAAAAAAATTTTATTTCTTATTATCGGATATAATATCTTGATAAGAGCTAACAAAATTTTTTAGTTATAAAGTTTTAAGAAATAAAAATATATATAAAAAATATTAAAAAAAATATATATATAAATTTAATTTTTTTGAAATCTGAGACAGTTAACGAGATAATTGATACATCTGGAAAGTGTTAAAAGCATTACTATCATATTTTGTTCTTTTTATTTAATAATAAAAATTAGAAAAATTTAATAATAAATAAATATTGAATAAAATATCATATATAATTTTTTTACTTTTTTGCTATTAAAAAAATTATTTGAAAGAGAGACGGCAAGAACATGATAAACCGATTTTCTCAAGGAAATAAATTATTTTTCGCAAAAATTAAATTTTATGTATAAATATATATAAATGTTATATTTTAAACTAAACTTTTGTGAAGTATTGAAAGATATTTATCTATATTTAGGTGATAGAAAAATTAATAATTTAAAGAAAAGTGCCTGTCTACAAGCATAGCCAGCGATTATATTGAACGATTTAGATTTCGTCATTACAACCTATAGCTAGTTAGTACAAGTTATTCTTAGCTACTCATTTAGTGTCCATCATCTAAAGGAAGCGCGGTTGATCGGACACTTTATAGACTCGCATCATCATCATGATTCAGTTCGGATAATCAGATATTTCTCTTCCATTCGGAGATCAACGATCTCGCGCCATAGTTCATTAGACCATTATATATTTTCTCCAATCATGCGGAGAGATATTTCACATCGTTCGTGTATCGCAAAACTTTGCTGGATTTTTTTTCTAATTACGAACCGTATCTGGCTGTATAGCGATTAAGCTAACTTAAGTGAGAGGAATGCGATTTCAAGCAAGACCGCGTGGTACATTCTCGACGCAAACGGGAATATATGTATCTAAAGAGAAAAGGGTGGGAGACCGATGAATAAGGATTTATTCGCAGCCGCAAGCGAATACTTGCGATTTAACGGCAAAATGAATTATTCGCGACGATGCAGCGGGATATATAATTGTGATATATTATCGTGCAATATATCACCATTTTTTCCGATAGCCGTGTAATAGGAATAATAATCCGCTGACAGACAGAATTGGCGAATGTATAATTACAGGTATAATGCAATTGATATTCGCAGACATATTATCGTGTATATAAGCTAAGTAAAGAAGTCGGGAATTATATCTTGTGTACATATATATGTATATATCAAAGCGTTCCCTAATTGTTAGATATTACAACATAATAGTCGATTGTGCAACTACACAGAAGTGATTAATTAGTAATAGACCGTGCCTTTAATTAAATGGTCGCAAACTCGCGTTTACCGAGCGAAACTCGACGTTCTAAACTACAATTACGTTTAGCACGAAACGGAATACATGACGCAGTCTTATCGGAGTACTTCATTCGCTTATACATACATATTCATGTCTGCCGATACCGATCCATTTGTTTCATTACGGAATTTAAATGCCTTCTCCCTCTCTATCTCTCTTTCAAATAATTTTTTTTAATTGCAGAAAAGTGAGAAAATTATATATGATATTTTTATATTATATTTAATATATTTATTTAATACGATTATTAAATAAATAATTTTTTTATGTGATAATATTATTAAATACAAGAAGAAAATTTGATAGTAATGTCACGCTTTTAACACTTTCCAAATGTATCAATTATTTCGTTAACTATCTCACATTTGAGAAAAAATTAAATAATCCAGATTTTAATATTGAGATAACTCAAAATTGCGATCTGTTGTTTACATTTTTGCGATAAATAATTTATTTCCTTGAGAAAATGGGTTTACCATGTTCTTGCCATCTCTCTTTCAAATAATTTTTTCAATAGC